GACTGGTCCCAACTGCCGCTCCATGTTCCCTTGAAGAATCATAAAACACCTATGCCTACGATTGCCTATGCCTGTGCTCCTCAAACTTGACACTTGCGATACCCAGCCACCCTTCATGGAGGGGTGACGTCAAACTCGATATACAATCCGATAAAAGGCGAGAAACCTCGGTGATGGTCTCCCAGCCGTACTGGATCAGCTTGGAGGCCTGGGAATGCATGGGTTCAATGAGCCAACACCGGGGTGACCTTACAACGTGTCGAGAGCGAAGTATGCTCCATGAATCAATGAATGAAAACGATCCTGGGATATCTAGGGGAAAATTGCCCTTGTATGACGGTACGGCCAAACAAAAGCACTGACTTCCGCAGATCAGGTCGGCAAATGAGACGCTATTCAGAGTGCTCTGTCCGCGTCCATGACGCAGGCCCGAAGCACACCAAGGTTCAGCTCCCACACACAAATGCAATCGTATTTGAATGGTGGCAGCTGGCACCCAATTCCACCAAGTAGCGTAGCCGGGTTCAATGCCGTTGGCCACCATCTTGTCGAAGGACAAAACTGCTCCTCGAAGACCAAAACAGTGGTCTTTAAGCAGGAATCGCAAGGATTCCATGATATTCGATGTATGGCGATGTTCAAGCGTGCCTGTCTGAAGCATTCCACAAAGGATGGTCTGCTCGCCCATAAGGTCACTCTTCACCTGACAAATCATCCGACATCCTGGAGGCAAAGAACAGAAACCGATTGGAGACCAGGTTTACCGGGTACTGTAGATCTCAGCCACCCCGCTTCAGCCACAAAGGAGCTCAGCAGCACACCGGCACCTGAAAGGAAGCAAGCTGCAGCAAGCTCAAAGGCTGGTGCAGGATCGCTGGCCGACATGAAATGGCCTTTGCTGTTAATCTTTATAGACCTCTTTGACCTGGCTGGCTCTCTGACCAGGCCAAGAAACGGTCGCCGCCGGTGGCCGCTGCGTAGGCCTTGGCGATCTCCAGGCCATCTCCCTGCGGCTCATGGCGATCGACGGGGGTGGCCCAGGCCCCTTGGGTACACCAGGTGCAAACTGGCCTTCCGAAGGCTGAAGGGTGTGGGTGAGCAAGACATCACAAAACACCTTCAAGTCGTGAAGTTTGCCACAGTGTGCCAAATTAACATGAAACCGGATCATGCACATGCCAAGGTGTATTCGGTGTGGTTTACTGGTTTACTGATATATTTGTACTCATAATTTTTGCATTAAATCATCTGAGCTGGCATTTATCAAACTTGATGTCAGCGGAAGATCCCGGTCACCCCTATGGAAGAGCCATGATTTGGCTCTGGACTTGATTGAGTATATTTGTTCATAATCATATTTAATTGATAGATTCTAAGTGGTTGACAGGAGCACTGTCCTGAGGACATCACTCAGTATCACATTGACCTTCCTTCCTTCCTTCCCTCCCTCCCTCCTTCCTTCCTTAAATATCCAACGACTTCCTTCAAACAGCTGTTCCTTGGAAGCTCAGAATACCTCCAGTTCTTCCCTCTCACGCTGAGCTTTGTTCCTGCGTCACCCATTTTCAGTCTTGTCCAGGTCTCCGTCGGTCTCCAACTCTCCCCCCAGCTCAATCCGGGCGCGTTGTCTCCGCTCCTTCGGGTCGTTCTCGGGGTGGACGGCAATCAGGGTCGGCACACCGAAACCACGCTTGTACTCCTCGAGGCGGTCGACGACGGCGTTTAGAGTGCTGCGTTCGCTTGTGGTTTAGAGTGCTGCGTGGCGGACTTGACCGATTTGGAGGCGACATCCATCAACTCATCCGTTTTACTACGTAATACTACGTCTTACTAAGTCTTACATACTACGTGAGGTGCGCAATCCTTTCAGGCCTCTCTCCTCACGGACCTCTGTTCCAGGGCATTTCGGTGCGACCATGACCACGGTGAGGTCCTCTCAGCAATCACATTGCGTGGCTGTTGTCAGGTTGGGTTGCTTGCAGTGGCCTGGCAAGCTTGGCCATGACTCAGTCAGCTCACATCTCAGTACCACGCCACAGTCGAGGCTGGTAAACATGAAAAATGGAAGGACCATCTGCGTGGTACCAAAATATACAAACGTTCGCTTGTTGAAACACTCCTCTCGGATTTTCATGCCCTCTTCCACAATGTTGAAACCATGACCTCAGCCGGACGAAGAGAAAACGAAGAATGCGTGCATTCTGCATGTTCATCTTTCATGTGAGGCCTCAAATGACCCTGGACACTCCTAGACCTCAACACCCCAAGTTCCAGTAAATCCAACTCCCAAGTCCAAGGTCCATCAGCTGCATGTCCAGCATTCTCCAGCCCGAGTCAGTGCCGAGAAGCTGTAAGAAAGGCAAGCACCCTGCTTCATCATGGGCATGACCTGTGCAGAGCTGCAAAAATGGAGAGCATCGTGTTCCCCTCCTTTCACATTCTTCGTGGATGTTCGTGGCGTTTTCACACGTTCACATCGCTGGCACAATCAATGCCCCAAATGCCAACCTGTTCCCACTGGAAGGGACACTGAAAATCCGATAAAAGATCTGAGAATCATGAACATCGGTGCTGAGGATCCCTCGTGTTGCTCAGCCCATTCTGTTGCTTCCCTCACACATACATCCTGGATGGATGCCAAAATGGGCCACAAAATGTTGTATATAAGTATTCACCGAGCCGCAGCAGAAACCACCGAGGTGTGCTGCTTGTCGGGCGTCAGATTGCAGACAAGGTCCTGTCCGTTTCACACGCTTTTCACACACACTTTCTCCACACACAAGTCATCCAGTCACATCGTTTGAGTCGCAGGTAAAACACCAAAAGCAGCACACCAACAAAAATATCAAAGCAGCCAGCACCCATCGTGTAGTTCTTTCGGGCTGGCCCAGCTGAGTGAGGCACCGCTTGAGGGATGAGCTCTTCATAGGTCCCGACCTGCCGGAACATCGAAGTCCCCGGTGTCACACGATACCATCATAGTATTCCACACGATGTTCAAAACATGATACCACATGTAAATAATATGATGTAATTATATAATATGAATTATGAATTAATATGATGTCTATCAGCGTGTGAAGCAAAGATTTCAAATCTTCAAGCTATGCGCTGGATGCTCAGAGGAAACAAAAGCTTCATAAACAACTGCAAGAGCTCGTCAGAACCGTTGGAAGAGTTATGATGCCAATCAAGAGCTGCTCGGCTCGCATCACCTGAACTGGTGAAACGGCCTTGAAACCATTCTGCGAGGCATTTACAAAGCTTTGTCGCTTCTTTTCGATGGCGTCCTAAAGCTGCAACTTGACTGCGGTCTCTCAGTTGTCAGTCATTCAAAATAAGAAGGCTATTAGATGCTTAGTAGCTCAGATGTCGTTGCCATGCACTAAAGTAGAATTGGCCCCACGAGCAAAAAGAGTCATGATGCATAGAATATTCTATTCTAGCAGCGACATGCTGCCGACATGAGTGAGAGTGCAACAACTATTCGGTCCTTCCGCAAAGCATAGCTGACATCACATCCGGAATCGCGCATGTTCAGGCCCTCGCTGTCACAGGTTGCGAGCTTGTCAAGAATTTCTGACGCATCTACACAATTGCTTGTGATAAAATGGTTAAGCGATGTTAAGCGTGTCTTTTTTGTCAGGCACAACCCGGCCGGCTATTCGCGCAAGCGTGCTCCGCATTGGGCCTGGTTCAGACCCTGTGCGCCGCATCCGACAATGACCACCTTCTTCTTATCCTTAGACTGACATGGTGTGCTCCTATGCGAAAGAGGAAGGGAAGACTTGCACCCTGAACACACGCTGTTCCAATGGCAAGGGAGCCTACAGCATACTGCATACAGCATGCTTCCACGGCTCTCCGCTATCCAATGCCTCCTACTCCTCACTGTGAACACCAGGCAAAAGGCCAAACAGCTCTTCTCTGTACATGAGCTAAGCCGGGTCCTGTGCTCGCAGACTTGGTTCTGCCTACCTCTTGATTGTCAATCTCTCGTGTCTTTGCATGCTGCATGAGCGCACGGCCTGTCATAATTCATCATACATTACATAAATCTGTCAAGCAGTCAAGCATCAAGTTTTGTCACACCATCCGCAAACTCACTCTTGGCCATGAAGCGGCATCGGCCCAGCCTCAGAGAATCCCACACCCCCGAAGCGGATCCAACGAAGTCACTTCTTGAGGCCACGGCTGATCCAACTTCTCGGAAAAGCTCAGCGTGTTAAAGTAGTTCGACCGCCTCAGTCGGGAGCCACCGAAAGGTGCCTGGAGTTTCAAAGTCAGCTTGGCGAAAAAAGAAAGAAGTGCGAACTCGCGCTCTTTTGCCTATAACTGTCCTAACTGTCTTGGTTCACGGACTTCGCCGAAGCCCGGAGCAAGGACTTGAACATGACAGCACCTCAGTGGAAGGAGCCTTTTGATCAGCTACTATTACCATCTTTTTCAAGAATCCGAAGGCAAACGACCAATCTGGAAAAAGAGTTCATGAGAATCCGTGCAGGCTCTGTTCGGACTAATCAAGAGGCTATCGGATAACCGATCCAAGGATGCAAAAGGGCCTGCATGAAATGTCTATACACAGATATAATTACACACCGTCTCAGATAGGTCGCGATCTCTTCGCCTGTGCACAGTCTTCTTCGATCCAAAATTTGGGGGGCCTCGAGCCAGCCCAGCTGCGAATAGATCTTGCCGATTGAAGGAAAGCTTCAGTGCCAAGCCAGCCATGTCAATATCTCTAGAGCAAACATGATCGGAGGAAACTCTTTCACTAGGAAGAGGCCCTGTGCTTCCACATATACCGTCACTCCCAATGCCTTGCTTTGGATGGACATGGATGACAAAAAGAAACGGTGCTACAAGTAAAGGTGCCTTTCCACAGAGTCTCATCATGATCAACATGACATGTCTCATCCAAAACACATAACCTCATTGCAGGGTGATCGCTCTATGCTCTTGGTCCTCACCCGTTCCACCGTCACGACCTCGGGAGGATCCTGGGAAACGCCAGATGCCAACACCGACTCGGAGAGCTTCGTGGAAAGGCAAAGCCAGGCCTCACGGAGGGTCGGGTCAGCATAGTAGCTTCTTGTTACGTCCCTAGCGATGCCAGGAGCCCCGTTCGTAGCGTCCTTGCTCCTAGTAGTAAGGCCAGGAGCCCCTAGTAGCTTCTTGTTACAAAATGAAACTCACAAAATGGTGAGGTGTCCGTCCCATGTCCTTTCAACATGTTGAAGAGGATCTAAAATGATCCAAAGATATCCACAGAACGGCGACCTCACAAGCTCCAAGTCACCTGCCAATGCCTCTCCTGATTCCTCTCTATCCACCACAACGCCGGCGCTTCAGGCTCCGGCGGCAGCTTCTTCCCTTCCGACTAAGGTGTCCTGCCTCAGCAACGTGAAAAAATCTGGGACCAATCAAAGTGGGAATGGATCGAAGTGGGATGGATCGAGGTGGGATGATCTGAGCAAAAAGGATTCCACCCACCAATCAGTTGGGTCGACCCCGAAAACCAGAAAAATGCACAGCTACTGCAATGGCAGCTTCCCATCTTGGGCGGACATTTGGACATAAGAGCCGCATGATGACAGCAAAATATTCGTCTCATGTGCCCGAGTGTGTCCAGAACTCAGCCGCCGGCAGGGAAGTGAACCTGTTTCAGGTTGAGAAACGTCTCGTATGGTATGAAAGAAACACCACCATGTGTTGCAGGCATCCCTCATATTCCAAGCATGCTTTTCTTGCATAACTCGTAGGCACGTTCGAGTGAACCCTTCCCAGTTGGGAGAAGCCGGTCATCACTCTGGCGAGGATCGACCTCTCCATCTCATTCCAATCTTAGATTCTATTGATTCTACCGTTTCAATCCGTTTCAATTCGTTTGCATATCTACTATATTCTACTATTATTATAGATGTGGTGGAAGGACATTAACGGCTTGAGAAGAACAGTGAGAACTCAGGAGAGCTCTACACAAGGACTCATTTGTCCATCACTCTCCTGTGCAAAGCACCAGGGCGAGGCACTTTGTGTTGTTTCTGCAATGATCTGGCTCTTCTGGTCTTCTGCTTGCAACACTTGCAGGAAGTACTTGCAGCATCGCGGTGGTCTAGAGGGGAGGAAGCCAAGTCTTGTTGATCTGATAAGGATATAAGCCTTACCTTCCTTTCCGGCACACAACTGCCCAAATAAATAGACAATCATGATCGTACGAACCTTCAATATACTCATTCAAATAATCGTAAAATGCTTGCAGATCGAAGTGAGTGAGTTAAAAGATATATCTGGAAAGTTCATCCTGGGGTTTCTCCTAACAGCAGTTGAAAAATGGGTTATCCACAATGTTCCTCCACTTAACCAGGTTCGGCCAGGCAGGTTCCATGGTGCTTGATGTGAGTGTGTGTGTGTGTGTGTCAAAACGGTCACCATCGATCGCCCATCCCTTCCGCCAAAGGGCCGAGTCTTCAGGGGAAGATCAAAGCGTACCGCTGCCTGGACACGCAATCGGCCATCGGAGGCACCATGCCACCATGCTCCATCCAACGGGTGGATGTCACGGCTGGAAACGCGATGGACATGTTCCCTGGACATTTCCACATCCGAACAGGGTTTTGTCTCCGTTACATGTTTCCACATCCGAAGAGCCCGGCCTCCGACTTGAAGTCATAAAGCTCCTCCCGAAGAGCCTGAATCTCCAGGCCTCGGCTTCAACGGGACAGCCGGGATATCAGCCGAGACTTGAACAGTTGTCAACTGACCATGGAACAAAAAATTGTAGCTTTCACCTGTCAACAATTCAAAAATGCCACCCAGAAATGCTGCGCTGGCAAAAGCGTCAAAGTACATCAAGCCCACTTGTCCACAGTATCCTTCCAACCATCTTCTGAGTTCCAAGAGTCAAGAGTTGTCTATGGAGTCTTGATGACACCAATGGTTCCCGGCAACCCAATTGGTCCAACCTCCTTTGGGGACTCCAAACGGTTTGACGCACCCTCACCTTGTTTGTGATGTTTGAGCCCCCTTGTTTGTGATGTTTGAGCCCCCCACCCTCTCTCTCTTCTAGCTGTCGGTTGAGCACCTCATCTTCAGCCTGGTGAAATATGGCAAATATGGCGATTGCATTTTCGCTGGGACAGTGTCTCGGAATCGTCGGTCCAGAACGGCTTCGACAAGCTCAAATGCCTTTCAAGACCTCCAGTCATGGCTCTGGACTCTGGAGATTGTGTGAACCCCAACCAAAGGTTCAAGCACCCTTCCCACATTCCAAGTATAGTATTCTTGAGCGGAGACTTGGCGATGTGCGAATGGCTTTTCTGCGGCAGGTCCAGTCTTCTGGGGGGATGGAATCGCTAATTTGGACCAAAGTTTTTGTTGTGTATGGTATGATATGGTGCAATGCAAAGGTCACACGTCTCATTTCTCCATCATTGCAGTGGACGCCGCTTTTTAAGCTCAACTCAGAGTGGGACAACCTCCAAAGACTTGATTGAGGACTTCCCACTTTGGTAATTGCTTTGGTCAGTTTCTCGCATCATTCAACCAAACTGCAGGTGGAATGGCATGCCTTGCAGGCAACTACCCCTGGTGGGGACACTCAAAAAGGATTTGAATAGATCCTTCTGCAATGGCCAAGATTGGCCAAGCACATTGTCAAAAGAGCATACAGCTCGGATAATTGTCGATGAAACTGAGCTTGGTTCAGGTTGCTCCACTTCCTCCTCTACAGTCTTTGAGCCACTGGCTACAGTGGGAATGGTGACGATAAGACCCAAACACGGTTTTGTCATGAATGAGCATCACAACAAATGATATGATCAAATCGTCCACACAAGCTCTCCACTCAACACATGAAATGCACCTTGCCCACTGACATTGACCAATGACAAGTCCAGTTCGGTGAGTGGATCACCCCGCCCAGTGAACAATGAGCCCCACCTGAGTATGCTCTTTGGTTTGCAAAGATTCGACCTTAGTGAAGTGCTTCATTCACAAGGTGTCGATTCCTCATTGAGCCGGAGAATCATTGCGGAGTGGGGACACCTTTGTCTTAACAAATCACACACAGTATGATGGGAAACAAACTGGTCAACTTCTCATGCGCTGCATGAGGCCAAGTATGTGTCTTCTTGAAATAGCGCCGGTCAGCCAAAGGTTCCGCAGGTTAGGAGGATTCCAACTTTCCAGGTCACTCTGTGTCCCTCTTCAAGGTCGCTTCCGCTCACATGTCAAGCGGATCGGGATCAGCAGAAAACGGGTCGGGAACGATCAGCAGCACGATCGGTGAACATGGACCACGCCAGGAAGATCCGGGAAGTGGCACGCCAAAGGTCCACGCAGTGCTGAACTTTTTTTTGAAGATATTTTAGCCTTTGATGGCTTTTTCCTTCGCCCTTATGAGCCGCCATTAATCTGTTTGTTAGTGGAATTGTGTTCAATCTTTGCCAAGGATCTTCCCCCCTGCAAAATAGCATATTATCTTTCATGGAAAACACCTCCATAATTGCCAAATGCCTTTTGTGGAACATTGTGCAACTCTATGTATTGGTTTTTACTTACTTAATTTAAGGTCTTGGAATTGATCTAAAAGAACCCATGTCAAAGGCACTTAATACTGTATGGTTGTCTTTGGGCAGGCAGATAGTTGCCCACCTACCATTGTCATTTAATACGGGCTTACTTGTTGACAAAATTGTTTCGCATTTCCAAGTCCACTTAAGTAGGAGCACTTTGAACAATCAACTTTCTTGTCAGACTTTGTTTAGCACTCACATTTGTCTTCCACAGAAAACATATGAATTCCCAAGTGCCGGCTTTTATATATCTATATTTTTAATCGTTCTTCCCCTCTCTCTCTCTATTACGGTTCTTTCTCTGCTGACACCTGATATGATTTCAAAAACCCAGGTTTTCAGGGGCGGGTTAGCCAACATATTACTTGGTACCACCACCAAAACAGTCAAAATCCAACCTCCAAAACATACCATAGAGGGGTCTCAACATGTCCGCATTTCGTTGCATTTGTCCGATTTGTCCACGATCTGAGTTCTAGAGGTATGAGTCAGTGACTCACTAGATCGTCAGTTCCTCTCTTTTGCGGCCTCAAATATGTGGAATCCAATCCATGGGGATATTGGAACAGCGGCCCCTTGGCCTCTGTTAGCCTTCGCAAATTGGCTTTGCCAAGAGCCTATGCCACTTCGCGAGCCTTCGCCACACTTAATATATCACACAAATGCCTTAGTGACTTAGTGGACATTTGGGGAGTTACAGTCTAATTAAACATTTATCATGCATTCAATTCGAAAACGCTACGCTACTAATCCAGATGGAACTGGGTTGAAAGAGGTTGTGTCTTGGGTTGTGTTGGATTTCCTTCCTCAGCTCTCTCTGGCAAACTAGAGCGTCGGTCTGCAGTGTCATGCGGTATGAAGGCTGCCTTGCAGCGTCTCGATCCTTTCAAACACAAATAGACCTGGCGGTCCCAAACTTCGACGGTCTGCCTCTCGGTCTCTCTTTTTTGAAACAAACCCGCACACGTCACACGAGACAACGAAGCCCTCATGGGTAGTCGACCAATCTTGGGTGGGTATTAAGCATCTGTAACTTGGCTGACTGCTCAGGTCAGGGCCTCTTCCTTGAGCTCTTGCACATGAGCAAAGAGGTTCAACTCTGCCTGCTCTGAGCGCAGTAATTCCTCGAACGCGAACCCTTTTATGTTCAAGTCGGGCTGGGTTGTAGCAGTCTGCAATTGGATCAGCTTTCCGGTGTGATGGGATGTGAGTGGACCACTAGTTGCTGTTTGTCATATATGAGTTGTGCACAATGGTCAAGTTGTGACCTGCTCAAACGCTCTGACATCAGTCGGACTGGATATATAAAGTTGCAGTCCATCCTCCGTCCTGCTCAAGCTGCAAAATGAGAAATGAATAGAAATGACTTGTTCACACATTGACATGTTCATACATTCATACTTCTTCAACCATGTTAAGACATGTTAAGACATTGGAGTGATTTCTGAATCATAATTCTTCGGACTCCAGTCATTTTTTTCATCGACTTCAGAAATCTTCCAGCTGCGCGCTCTCAACGATCCCCCGAGGCCTGGCGACGCTCGCGCAGCTCCGCCGCCACCTGCGCCACGGGCTCCGAGGGCGTCGCTCCGTGTGCTCCGCAGAGCGCTTGAGCCGCCGAGAGCTCCAGGCGCAAGGCGTTGGCCGTGCGCCTCGGCCGTGGAGCGGCCGGGGTGAGACGGCGCCTGTGACAGCGGTCTGCAGTTGGAGGATTGAGCGTTTAGATGATTTTAGATGTATTTGGAGTCCAGGGAGTCTAGGGTTTTGATGGATGGCACTGGATGGTTGAGATACAGTATGCGGCTTGATTGATGTTTGTGTTTTGTGATTGCATAGTATTGTATACCGTACTAAGATCATTCTTGACTCCCTTCCCGAAGCCCTGCCCATGGCGCCTGAAGTCGGAAGATTCCTGACACAGGTCATGGCCTCTCCAGTCTACTAGTAACTTGGGAAATCTGCCTTCGGTTGAGCGCAACCGCAATTGCCCCACACCATCGCGTCCCACACCGCTGTGGACCATCGGCTCGTTACAGTAGGGACGAAAACCGATCACAAGTTGTGTGTTCAACCTGCGAATGTTGCTAGTACTCTCAAACTATGTCAATAGAACTCAATAGTATGATGCCAACTTGTGAGGTACGGGTTTGGAAGCACAGTCTCATTGAGACAGTCCTTCTCGTTCTGCTCTTGCACTTGCCGTAGAACCTACAGGCACGCGCACATGTGCGGCAAGAGTTTCTACCCTGATGGACTTCTCATGGTTTCTCAAGACAGCGGTGGCAGTCAAACCCCCCTTTTCCGCACACGACCCGGAGGACTGGGAGGACAAGTGAGGACAAGTGAGGACAAGGAAAAAGAAACAAAACCAAACGCAAGGTGAACCTCTGCTGGTCAAAACGATGGTTGGTTTGAGGGAGTTGTGCCTTGAAGTACTTCTGCTGAATCGAAGAAGCCGAATCTTTGGCCTTCGACATCGTCACATCGAAATCGTAACATGTTCAGGCAGTGATGTAGCTCTTCTTACGTGCCGCTTGCAGTTACGTCTTTGATCGCCGTTGATAGAGCAAGCCAACTTGCTAGAAATGATGAAATGAAATCGATGTTGAATGAGATTAGACATATTTAGAAATGAAAGCCATTCCAACTTCTACTGCCGTGTGCAGGGCAAGTGGACAGGAAGCAGGAAGTCGACCAAACACAAACACGAATCTTTCTGCAACGGCGCTTATATATATATAATATATAATGTAATATGCAATATGTATAAATATGTTGTTCATTCTTTTTCCACAGCACACACACACACTACGTAACTAAAGGCCTTTCATAGCGCTGCACCAGGCCACCGCACAGCACTCTCCACAAAGCGCATCCTCTCTTGCCACTGCTGGGCATGCGCTGCCTCCTGTTTTCACGCCCATAGCTAGAACCAAACCTCCTGTCATTTTGCTCTGAAAGTGATGCAAAGCACAACGCCAACAGCTGCGACATCCGCTCGTGACCCCGCTCGCCACGCTGCGCATCTCAGCTCGCCACTTGCTCGAGACAGCGTTGCCGGTGTTGGGCTGCACCATGCCGTTCTTCGGATCTCAGAGCTTCGATCACCTGTGGCGACCGGGCGCGTCCGGCTGGTAAGAGCTGCATGGTTTCGTGGGTGCGACCGGGCACGATGCGGCACGGCATTGGATTCTTGTGGATTCTAATTCATCCGGTGGCATTGACATTGTCTTTCAATCGTCTGCACAGCCCATCAGGGGCCCGTCATAGCCCGACCCTGACGAAAGGCTAACGTTCGATAAATATGGCATGGCTTGCTACGGCTCCGAACGCCTGCGCGTGCGGCCACGCGACGTCGCCGCTCCACCCAGCCTCAAAGCCAGGGTCCGCTCCCAGGCGCCGGGTGGATGCCTGGTTGGGGTGGAAAAGACCGCAGGGTGGACTCGAAGCTGTCAGAACGGGCGAGACGGTGTCCGTTCTCAAGACCCGTTTCAGTTCGCGCGGCATCACGCGCGCACGCAAGACCCGTGAAAGCTCGTTGAATCAAGGAGCAAACCGGTCAGTTGACTGTGCCAGCCTCACACGCAGCTGTTTCCACCGCCACATTCTCCTGTTATTGCTTCAGGAAACGTTGGTGCAAATTTTGATGAGTTGGAATGAGGCTATATATGGCTATATATATATATATGTTACGTAGCCGACGTAGCCGTAGTCAGCAGTACTGGTCTTCTCACATCTGAAACACAGCTGCAGAACGTGAATGCTCAGCTGAGTCTGGAAAGTGACAAGTGACAACCATTGTGCCTCAAGGATTCTCAAGGCGAATTTGGTGCACTGGTTGTTGAACTGTCGCAATAAAGCCAGTCTGCTGTCGAACGGCAAGAAAGCCCTCTGAAGCCGTGCCTCGGCCACTTGGACCTCCGCCTCTAAAGCTGCCAGGTCTCAGTTTGAAGGCTCCATGAGGGCTCAGTGGAGCGCGAGAGGCATCATTGGTCCATCTTCGACTGGGAAAGATTTGAGGAATCCAACTTAAGGCCAAGGGGAGGAGGTCGAAAGCTAGCGGAAGCACACTGGCGGTTTCTCTACCGCGCTGCGGTCGTTGAGGTCAAAAAAGCAGAACCAAGCAGCAGCATCAACCAGCAGCAGCAGCAGCAGCAGCAGCAGGGGCAGCAGGAGCAGCAGCAGCAGCAGGCAGCAAAGGCAGCAGCAAGCAGCAGGCAGCAGGCAGGCAGGCCAGCAGGTGAGGAAGGAAGCAGGCAAGCAGGCAAGCACTCCAGCAGGCAAGCACTCAAGCAGGCAAGCAGGGAGGCAGGCTGGCAGGCAGGCAAGCAGGCAAGCAAGCAAGCAAGGAAGCAGGCAGCAGGCAGCTGGCAGCAGGGGCAGCAGGCAGGAGCAGGAGAAGGAGCAGCAGCAGCAGCATGCAGCAGGCAGCAGGGAGCAGCAACAATCGCAACCATCAGCAGCAAATCAGCAACAACCACAACCATAAGCAGCAAAGCAGCAACAACCGCAATTTTGCTGGCACAACCCTTGGTTTTCGATCATTTTTGAGAGGGCTGCAGAGGGCTGCGCAGACGGAGCTGTGCTATCAATAATATGTTTAAAAAGGTTAAAAAGGTAGCTGGTAGAAAGAATATGCATACATACCCTCAAGAGGCGCAGCTGGGAGTTCAACCGCGGGGGGGGGGGTTAGCTTGATATATCAATCTTTAAGGCACGCATCCCATCCCAATACATGGCTAAAGCAAAGAAGAACTCAGCTAGCATGCTAGCTTTCGTGATAAAACAGTCCGGAAAGATTTGAGGTCTCAAATCATAATACCAGTACCATATGATACTAGTAACAAGTAGCAAAGGGCATCGCTGCTAGGAGCAAGAAGCTACTAGTAGCTCCTGGCATTACTACTAGTAACAAGAATCAAGAAGCTACGAACGTAGCATGAAAGGTCTGCCTGGCTGATTTTGAAGCCTTGAAGCCAAAAGAGTCCGTGGTGGGAATCGTGCAGCCTGGACGAGCAGGACTCTAAGACTCTAAGCTGCACACGACGGGCAAATGGCTGAAGAGGGTCCTTGCAATTGGGTGAGTCAAATGGCTCTGCGAGGGAACATGCAGCCACAGCCCCTTACAACTTTATTTCCCACTCATTCCAAGCTGTACGGATGAAGATAGATCAAAGCCCCTTGGTTGGAGGTCTCCCCATAAAATTACACACAAGTCATGGCACTTGAGTGAATCGCTGATCCTTGATCTCAAACAAGGCTCCTGGAACTGGCGGATCTTTGCAGCAAGATCCTGCACCAGTGCAGAACGTCTTCAGACTCTGTTTCTGTTGGCCCGAGGGAATCCCCTTAAGACCAGGGTGTGGCGTTCGTTGCCTCCATCACATCGACTGATCAATTCCAAGTGTTTCAAACACACCAGTTGATCAATTGTTCCAATCCCATTGATTTATTTGAGTTTATTTGTGTGAATCTATTTCTGGAAGCCACCACGAGTCCGGCGATCGTCCCCACACCACATGCTAGCATTGGCCGCACGGCTCAGGTGTTGTCCGAAATCGTCTGTGCCGTCCTTTTTCGGTGACGCACGGCTCACAAATACCGTTTGGCTCAAAGTTCTGGTACCAGAACAGGTCCTAGTTGTACTTGCTTGTCTGATTGGTTTGAACACCATGCTCTTCCTGTTGAGTTTGTCTGTTTGGAATGATGCCTACAGTTGCTGTGTTCAAGCTGTTGTCTGACAGTCGTGTCGCTCCGACATGCGCAGGTCGGTCCCGCAGACCGCCCGCCTCGCAGCTCTTGGTCGATGCTGCGAGAATCTCGTGCAAGGACTTCTCCTCGGAAGCTACTAGGAACAAGTGCATCGCTAGTAGTAACAGGTGCCTTACTAGTAGTAACAAGAAGCTACTAGGGGCTCCTGGCATCGCTACTAGTAACAAGAAGCTACTAGGAACAAGTGCATCGCTACTAGTAACAAGAAGAATTTAATTAGAATTGTAATGTGCAACATGTGAGAAATCATCCGACCTCCCCCGCTATCCCTTTCTACGGACAATGATCGTAAGGAAACATCAAACCACACCTAGCGTTTGTCAATTGAAGGAGAAACGCCTGCATGTTTTGTTGCAAGCACTTCAGCTTCTCTTTGAGGCAATTCATATAACACAATTCACAATCGGCTTGTGTTACCTGTTTGCCGTTTACCTGTTGGCCACTCCTCGCTTTCTGTGTTGGCACACCGACGTGAGCTCTCTTTGACCTGGAATGGTATCAACTAAACTAAGAACTCTATATGTTGCCGCCGGTCTGTCTTCTGAAAACCCAGAGCAAACTGGCCATAAACGCAATGCGTGGATTCATCCAAAAGCAAGTTTGGTGTCATAACATTGTTCAATCCAGAAGTTCTTTGTGACGCCCCATTCGTTCCTTTTATGTATATAACTCCATCGAATCTTCCTCGCACCTCCTGCTGCAGGCACTCCTGCTGTGACTGAAGCTTCTGGACCTCACCGGGAGTCGAAACTGTTGTCTTTTGAGGCCAAGAACTTGACCGATGCTGCAATTCTCATTGGGTGGCCTCCGTTGAGCTGCTTGACAAAGCATTGCTTCTCAACAGTGGAAGAACACTCTCGAAGCGGCTCGCGTGTCACTCTAATCAATCTAATGGCGATGGCCTCCAACCTAACAGCAATGGCCTCCAATTCTTCAGGCATGGCCTCTAATAGCGATGGCCTCCAACCTAATAAATCCTAATAGCGATAGTTTCAATCGCAAATCTTGTGAAACATGAAACTTCTATCCTAATAGCGATAGTTTCAATCGCAAATCTTGTGAAACATGAAACTTCTAAGCCCCAAGCCAACATCCGTCTGCATGCGTTGTTCACAGACTCAGGGTCGGACTTCAATCTGATTCTGCTGGAGCAGTGCCTGGAAATGCCATACTATCCTCTGCTTGCGACGTTCAATCAACCAAACGCCAGCAGGTTCCACCAAAGTCAAGTGCCTATTCAAGAGTGTAGACACTCATCACATACGGCAAAACATTGCATGTGTTACCTGTTGGTGCATGATAAATCCCCATCGGACGAACGATTGTGCAGAATCTGTGGGAAAACCCGATCAACGTGGACCAAAACACATGCCGGCTGTCGCGCAAGCGCACGGTATTGTACAGAATCTGCCTCCAACTGCAACTGGCGGCTTTGGGCCTCAGCCACCTTCAGCTGCTCTTGCCGTTGCTCCTCTTGCCGTTGTGTCATGGGAGAATGTAAATCGTATGGGCCGTTCCCTCGGATGAGGATTGCGGCTTTGCACGCTTGACGGATTCACTTACAGCACTGCTGCAGTTTTCATGACAGTCGGTTCTAACGCAGCTATTGTCAAGCGGCATGAAGTGGAGTTAGTTGGAAGCTTAGAGATTCTTTCGACAAAGGATGGTGTGTAAAGTGCCTTGGGGACGTCGGCCCTGGCCCTACCCAGTTTCTTGCCCACCACAGTCCAGGTCTGATGTCTGCTGCTCCGCTTCCATGAGAGCATGCATTTCCACCCGCATTGCTGCAGCCTGACCACATGTGAGGCGCCGTCAAAATCAATTGTTTAGGACCGGTTCAAGTCAAAAGTGGCAGTTATGGCTTTTGGGATGCCTATCGCTTTACATGGTTTTGAGAAAATCTTCACAGGCTCGAAAAGAGATGAGAGGCTTCTTTTTTCAGGTGCAGTCAGAAGCGTCTGCTGATCTATAAACCCATGTTTTGTGTGTGTGTGTGTGTTTCACAATACATATAATAACAAATATATATACATAATTAGAGAAAGAGAGAGAGAGAGAGAGTGAGCTATCAGCTATCTATATCCAGGTTCATGGGTCCATCCCTTCGCCTTCGGGCCTGAAGGTGTAACTGGTTATCGCTAAGGTTCGCTAAGTTATTGCTGAGGATATCGTTTTTAACGCCTCCAAAACCTGAAATTCCTTGAAGATACTTACAGTTGCAGGTTATAGGTTTGGGGGGGCCTATTGCTTTGCATGGTTTGGTGCACTTCCCCAGCAAAACTGTGCCCTCCCTACTGAAGTGATGTACTGTACGCTTATGATCGCTTCTTGGACTGTGACTCATGTAGTTACAGTTACAGTCATGACATGTTATGACAGGTCATTTATATAAATGAAGCTGTATATCTCTACAGTATATCAGTCTATATAACGCCCTTGTCTTTTCCCTTCCGACTCTCGGATGCAAAAAACCGAGTACCTCAAAGTTGGCCTTCTGTCGTAGATAAGGCCATATGCTCTGTTCTTCAGGGCCAGCGAAAGCACCACATTGGAAGATTCAGCTGGTGGCAATGCCAGCTTGTGTCCAAACCAACCACTATGTCGTCCCTTCTTCTGGAGCTTCTCAGAGGCTATTTTGAGGCACGTGAGGTCTTGCCAAATGAGTTGTTCCAGTTCCATGTTGCTCCAAGCCACTTTAGGGCATCCCAAAAAGACAAAGGTGCTAAGGTGCTGGGCTCTCGAGTCCGACATTGTGTGAAGTCTCGCTCAAGTCCATCCAACTTGGGAACATCCACATGTTACATGTTCTATTTCTGTGACAGATTCGGGAATCTTGTGTAGTAGCAAGTGCATCGCTACTAGTAACAAGGGCATTACTACTAGCCACAAGAAGCTACTAGTAGCAAACGGCATCGCTACTAGGAGCAAAGACGCTACTAGGGGCTCTTGGCCTTACTAGGAACAAGAAGCTACGAACGTAGCACGTTTCGTTCCTCCGTTCTCCCTCTTTCCATGGCACCGTTGGGGCGCTGACGCCCGATGTTTCGCCTGCGAGGCTTCGAGCCCTTGGAGCGACACCGAGGGCCTCGGTGACGGCCTCGGTGACGGCTTCGGTTGAAGAAGACGGGAGAAGGCGACTGGTAGAAGGCCTTGAGCAAGACAAATTATCGAAAAATGACCACATCTCTTACCTGCAGGTTCTATCCATGGGAAACCTGCAGAGAACCTGTTTCGCTCACCTGCATGCCGAAAGTTAAATGATTTCTGCACGCCAGGCCGGCCTCATCTTCGCAACACCAGAATCACCATGGGGGCTCTCAGATGGGAAACAACGGGTGCTGCTGATCTGTTAAATGTTGTGTATGTGCATTAAATACTATGCCTCATACCTTTTTTGCCATTGGCAATGGGCGAACTTGCCCTGTGTTGCTATCAGCACTCCCAGTCAACCTCCACCATCGTTGCCCGTGTGATGAGAAAACATGAAAAATAGGTCACTTCGACCAAGCCCCTGCATGAAGTCTGCGTTCTGAAATTAAGTGCATGGAGTTCTGGAGATTAAGTAGCGTCTTTGTTCCTAGTAGCTTTATTGTTCCGAGTAGTAAGGCCAGGAGCCCCTAGTAGCGATGCCCTTTGCTCCTAGTAGCGTCCTTGTTCCTAGGTTTGGCCTCAGATATGTTCAAAGTCTCCGCTTCCAAGTCTCAAGTCTCCACAAGCCCAACGTGTCACACCAGCTGGCCGCGTTTGTTGTTTTCTCCTGAGCAAGACCGTGTTGTACAAAAGGTATTTCGACAAGCTGGATATGTACAGCATAATCAGCATAGGAATCTACCAGGGTCTTCAAAGGCATTCGCTCTCTCCGAAACACCATTGGCAGGACCGAAAAGGAAATGGCCATTTCTCGCCCTTTTTCAAAGACTTTGGCCAAAATTGGCCTCAAGGGGCGCTTCTGGCGCGAAGCTCCCGATTCTCGGCTTCGAGATCGTGGTGGGTCCCAAAAACACCGAAGCCTCGTCGGCCGCGCCTCACCCTGGAAGCCAGTCTGCTTTGCAGAGCTTTCAAGACTTCAGGATGAGACTTCAGGTCCAGACGCAAGCCTGCTTGAACCGGATGAAAACACTTCGTATCTTCCAGTACTGGTTGCCAAAAACTCCGAAAACATATGAAAATATCCTCACTTATGGTTTCAAGTTTCCTTGAGGCCTAGAAGAGTGGGCTTTAAGGCAGCCAGCGTCGGCTTGCAACTGTCAGCTCAGAAGTACGGCGACCTTCCAAAGGCATGCTTCCGGGCCATCTCCATTTGCACCTGACACACGCGCACACCACACAATACACACACACACACACGAAATCATACATGTGATCTTATTTGCATCCAGCTCTTGGCCATCAACGACCCTTGAAATCATTCTTGTAAGGCTAAGGGATCTGCTTTCAGTCAGCTGTTGCTTCTCGTTCCGCGCGGTGTCCGCAGAAAAAAGAAGGCAAGAACATGCGCAAAGAAGTGATAAGAGACGTCTGAAAAAGAGATACACAAAGAGCGAGGGAGGGAGGGAGGGAGGGAGGGAGAGAGAGAGAGAGAGATTTTGTGTGCGTGTGCGTGTGTGTTCACCAGGGAGAAGGACATGTTCATGGGACTAGTAACCGTCGTCGTACCCAAAAGGTCCGACGGAAAAAAAGACAACTCGGAGCGAAGGCTGCACACGCTACGGCGACCGCCAAAAATGGAAGGGCATGCCGGGGCAAGTCATAATACACTGAATGTATATATATATACATATTTCTATATATTTTAGTTATGTAACTTATGTATATATATATATATTATATTACTCGCACTTCATAGCTTGATGGCATCCGTACCTCCTAACCTTGCAAGGGCCTACAAGTGCACCATGGTGAAAGTGCTGGATCTTGAAGAAGTCTTGCAACACATGTCCACTCGTGAATCTATGGCAGCACATTTGCAGGAACCACCTCCCCCATCCGCCAAAGGGTCAAGTAGAATGGGAGGGCCCTTCCCCACTTCCCCTCAAAAGCCCTTCACTCATCCTCCAAAGGATGCTCAAGAGCCTTTCCGAGTCCTTCCTGGAATAGATCTTGAAAGGCTACAGGTTTGGAGAACTCAGGTTCCAAGGCCCCTTTCGTTCCAAGACCCCCCCTCGGCCTCCAGGTCACGGGAACTGGGGCTCTGCCTCAGACACGTTCTCTGCAAGCACGCGCGCTGTGTCTTCTGCCACTCTCAAGCACCAAGGAGCTGAATGTCACATCCGTTTTTGCTTCATGTCTGTGAGTTGTTTGTCAAAGCCATCCTTCCTATTTGCCACTCCCAGTTGCCCCTCTTCCATTCCGGATCAAGCCCTATCCATTCCATGCTCTGGAGCTTCGCATCCCCCAGGCCAAGCGTCATCATGCTGTGGCTCACGGGAAGGTCTAAAGGAGGAGGCTCTAGCAGTGGAAGCGCCGGCAGAGGCGCGGCAAAGGGATGCTCTACTCCTCAGACCCAGTGGGACTCTGTCGACTACATCAGCGACTCGACCAGTGGGCAAAATGGAAAAGGTGACCCTGTCGACTGTCAACTTAGAAGTGTTGCTGAGATCCTGCAGTTCTTATTGTCTGACTCTGTCTCTACAATTCCCAAATGTCTTTGAACCTGCCACCAATGATTTGTGGCAAATTGCTCCCAGCAGCTACTCACAGTGAATGGTTGCTAAATAGTGTTCTGAGGTTGCCTGGTCTAGCTTGAACATTGGTAGAGCTCCTCCCTTGCACAGGCCACCACACGATGTACGACAAACATCTAACGATATGTTGTTCGCTTGACATTTCACTTGAGGGTTGTGTGTGTGTAGAGATAGAATCTGCTCGTGATTCAAAGTAATGGAGAGTGACGAGTGATGCAACTTGATACACCGATCTGCCGAAAGATGATACAAGGTGAGGTGAGAAACAATGAGCTGAGCCAAGCCGAGGGGATCGTGTGAGGTGGTATACGGTAAACCAATTTTGAAATGAGACCAGGCCAGGCTGGATGATGCTGGAATAGAAAGACCACCCTGCAGGGCCCTGGCCCAATTGGGTTTAATTCACTCTTCCTTTCAACCAATTGGGACTAACCACTCCCTATTCCAGTACACACCCAAATACGTTTGAGGATGTTTGAGGCCTGCGTGACCTTAGCTGTAAACCCTCCAGCTTTGACCCTGACGCCGACGAAACCCACCGATGGACCGATGGAGGTGTTCAGCTGAGGTGTTCAGCCATAATCCCATGAAGAACGACCAAGGGATGCGGACCACGGACCTGTTTGTGTGTGTGTGTGAAAAGAGACGGGTGAAGATGAAAATACAATATGATATATAAATGATGAGCTATGAGTCAACGTGGTGGTCTGAGGTGAGCCTACATTGGATGAAGTAACTTTCTTTGTGTCGAGCAGCTCAGTTGAGATGATGTTCTATCAAACGAGGAAACGGTGATAAAACTGGGCAGGGTTTGGTCATTCACCCTTTCCTAGCAACGGTCGTTGCGACCGTCACCGGTCGTAGTTCTCTGCACCGACTCGCCGATGTCGCCGCCCCATTCGCAGCCAAATCTCCCTGGCTTGATGCAGATGGCGATCTTGAGATGGCACTCCTCCCAATGATGCCAGGGCTTGGGCCAGTGTCGTCAAAGGCCTGCTGAAGCGGTGCAAGCAAAGGATGCTGGAGAAGAAGACCAGCTCCCTCGCACGCGCCTTGCACTGATGCTAGAGTGTCCAAGTCCCCGTCTCCCAAAGGCGCCTGGATGTTGCACAGATCTCTCCAGATCTGTAGGACAGGAGGCCTTTCCTGGAGTGCTTCATGGCATCTTGAACCCACAGTGAGGAAAGAAAGCCATGGGTTTTATGCCCCCTATGTCACCACACGCATGTGTGTGTGTATATATATATACACATGTACACATATTATACATACATACACGGTGTACTGTTTATACCTATATATAATGTGCACGCCTTAGATGTGCGGCTTTCAAAGCTCCTTGTTAGAGGCAGCTTTCAACCAAACAAGTGTCAGTGTATGTATGAGCAAGAATACTCAAAGGCCAAAAGGCAAACAAACTTCACTCGAGTCGAAGGCAACAGCAATCAGTTGACATCAGAACTTTGCAAGCAGCTAAGGGCATTCACCAAGCTGTTACTGCAATGATCTAATCACCACTTCACCACCCTGTCACCCTATGTTCAAGTGAGCAGCTCGTGATGGACTGGCTGCATGATCGTATCGCTTAGGCATCACTAGGAGTGTCACTGAAAAATCCTTGTGTTTCCCTTCTTGAGCTACATGTAAACACATAATTGGAGCACATGGAATTCCCTTTCAGATCAAGAAGCCATCCTTCGTGTTCTGGTAGGGCATCGCTTTTGGGGACCATCGCTTCCCTGAAAGGTCACTGGTCGCATCCCAGCTGGCCCCACATCCCTGGCGCCTGTGGTTCGAACCTCCGGCAGCTCTCGGCGATGGCCCGCACACGCGTCATGAAGCCCGTGGGCCAATCCTCTGGCGGCAACTGCCTGGGAGCACTGAAAGACGGTCCTAAATGTGGACATGTTGATGAATGAAACCCCATATGGAGATGTACCAGGGTTGTGTTATATATTTGTTCTTTTTTTTGGTTGATTTCTGTCATCCACCAAATAACCATCCCTTTCCAACTTGCTGCCATTCAACCTGCGGGCTCCCAGGCGCCAAGCGGCCCGCGGCTCAGGGCCTCGGTCATCTCATGTCGCTTGAGCTCGGAGAGGGGCATCCGCCCAGAGATGACAAAGAAGGCTACCTGCCCGTAGCCTCGGAGACGATCATCTTCGGTTTTTGATGTGGCGACCGGTGCAAGAGGAGGTAAGCAAGTTAGTAGCTAACAAGTAGGACGCTCCCATCTAGGACGCAGGATAGCTCACGATCACACTATTCATTTGTGCTTTTTTAGTTTTTTAGGGGAACATCAAGGATATCCTAAAGCACCTCAGGAAGTGGAAATCAAGGCAGTGATGACCCATCATACCACACATCTTGATGAACCAAACACAAAAGTGAAAACCAAACTCCCCACAACGAAGTCTGCTGATTAACATCCGGTACTTGATGCCTTATTGAATTATTGTTAAGCACTGCGTACAAAGAGTGACTGATATTAAACTACTTGCCATACTTTGGTGGAAAACCGTGTTTTTGATTGATCACAATGATGATACAGCGATCACCGCCTGGATGGTTCTGGAGCTGTTGTGCTAATATTGTTCCCAGGAGCTGTATGCATCTGCTGCTGTTGATGGTGACCAAGAGCCTGCCATTGCAGTCGACTGGATCGTCGGTTCATCAGGTTTCTAGATCCAAAAGCCGAAAACGCTACTGACGAGCAGTGGAGCCAGGTTCTTTTCTGTTGGCCTCAAAGATTGCTGATATTTGCTGGTTGGAACATTGGCCAAATGTTCCCAGTAGCCTCTTTGCTCCTAGTAGTAAGGCCAGGAGCCCCTAGTAGCGTCTTTGCTCCTAGTAGTAAGGCCAGGAGCCACTAGTAGCGTCTTTGCTCCCAGTAGTAAGGCCAGGAGCCCCTAGTGGCGTGTTTGCTCCTAGTAGCGATACCCTTAGCTCCTAGTAGCGTCCTTGCTCCTAGCTTCAACTCTCACACGGAGAGTCGGTCGACTTCGAAGAATTCGACCAAGCAAGTTCACACAGATCACCACTCCCGTTATGAATTGCCGCCTTGCAAGACTTCTGGAGCACACCAGCGCAAGGTGCCACCCATTCCAGCAGCCTAAGTAGGCAAAAGGTGAGGTTTTTGCAGAGCGCTGCTTAATTGCTTCGATTCAAGCTAGAATCTGCTGTCTGTCTGTGTCTGTCTCCCTGACGTGCGAGATCCACAAAGAGAAACGAGAATGCAAGTTCTCGGAACACTGTTCCCAACGAAGAATACAATCACTGAAGCTTCCGTGGGGGGCAGTCTCCACTCTTTGGGGGAAAAAGAATAGGAAAGCACGTTTCCAACCGGCACCCCGCTGCCCAGCACGCCTGGCACGCCCTTCTCATCCCAGGCGCTGACTTGGTGGCGCGTCGTGCCAGCCCGAAATCTCCCAGTTTGGTCACCAAGCAGTCTTTCCGCTCTTCCTTCGACGGAAGACGCACGGAAGACAGGGCAGGTCGGATGCGGAAGACGGTATGTTTGGATATATGAAAGGCTCGACCAAGCGTTCCGACGATGCCTTCATCTCAAACGATGTGGAAGCATCCGTCACTTCAAGCATTCTTCAAGAACTCTCCCCACCATCCTGGAATCCAAAATCTCTATAATACTGTAGCTATATCTAGTTATACAGAAAATGCCTTCCATTTGATTCATCCACTGAGGGTGGGGTAAAAGCCTGACCTCATAGTTGAGATAAACTAATTATTACAAGGTAATGTTCAAGTGCTCCGAAGGTGACGCAAGGAGGCACTGGAGTGGCTTCAATTCAAGCTGCCCAAGTCAAGTGCAATCTGATACTTGTGTCTCGCCCTGTGAACCTATCTCTCTCTCTCTCTCTCTCTGAGATACCTACCACAAATATATTGTCACTCTTCAGATCTCCATGCACGACCGCAGGCTGTAGACCGTGCAAATAAACCAGGGCCTGCCAAGAGGGACACTGAGAGAGGTCAATGTCTCACTCAATGACTCTCAAGGGATAGTAACATGTTGGTGTGTGAAGTCCAGTACCTGGTATCAACCTCAATGAGTTAAAAAAACAAAAGGGTTGGCCCCACTGACATCCTTTCAGACCAGCTGCTGACTGCTAACTGGATGAACTCAAGAGCCTCTGTAGAAAAGCGCCAAAAGAGTGCAAAATCGAAAGTTTTGCTCTTGGACAGGTGAATGAGTGATGGGATGATGTGCTGAAATCTCCCGTTTTGAATCAAATGTCATGACAAGAAGACTTGGTCGATTGGCCAGCCGTGCAACTGGCCTTGGCCATATCAAGAAGTATCTGAAGCCGCTCATTCTCTCGAGGTGTCGCCACAGGAATAAACTTCGTCAAAGTTTTCCTGCCAGGATCGCGCCAGATCCCGAACACAACGAACATGGAACGCGCTCTCAAAGGCACAGGATGCTCTGCCCTGACGTATGTGGGCGCAAGTTCCCTTGGCCCCATTAAAGATGCTTGTTAACTAAGTAATGACTGTATGTACAATGTAGATTCTAGATGTATAATGTATTAAACTATATCATATATATATATATATGTTTTTAAAACTATATAATCATATATGAATTAGCCCAGCTGGAGACCCCAATAGCAAGATACAAACCGGGACAAAAAGAAAAATCTGGAAACAGCTGCTGTTTTCAACACATCGACCATCTCTTCCTTGGACACCATCATCACATAACCGAGACACCATCACAAAATGACCAGGGCACCATCAAAACATGACCGAGACACCGTCACAACATGACTGGGACACAATCAAAACATGATCGGGACACCATCACAACATGACCGCGCC